TTCTTCCTCCATCGCCCACACCCATCCACCATAGCCAACCAGCTTCAACCCTTCTTCTTCCTCCATCACCCACACCCGTCCACCATAGCCGACCATCCCCCAACCCTTCTTCCTCCGCCATCACCCCCACCCGTCCATCATAGCCAACCACCCCCAACCCTTCTTCTTCCTCCATCACCCACGCCCGTCCACCATTGCCAACCACCTCCAACCCTTCTTCCTCCATCACCCACATCCGTCCACCATAACCAACCACCCCCAACCCTTCTTCTTCCTCCATCACCCACACCCGTCCACCATAGCCGACCACCCCCAACCCTTTTTCCTCCTCCATCACCCACGCCCGTCCACCATAGCCAACCACCTCCAACCCTTCTTCTTCCTCCATCACCCACACTCGTCCACCATAGCCAACCACCTTCAACCCTTCTTCTTCCTCCATCACCTACACCCGTCCACCATAGCCGACCACCCCCCAACCCTTCTTCCTCCTCCATCACCCACACCCGTCCACCATAGCCAACCACCCCCAACCCTTTTTTTTCCTCCATCACCCACGCCCGTCCAGCAAAGCCAACCACCTCCAACCCTTCTTCTTCCTCCATCACCCACACTCGTCCACCATAGCCGACCACCCCCAACCCTCCTTCTTCCTCCATCACCCACACCCGTCCACCATAGCCAACCATCTCCAACCCTTTTCTTCCTCCATCACCCACGCCCGTCCACCATAGCCAACCACCTCCAACCCTTCTTCTTCCTCCATCACCCACACCCGTCCACCATAGCCAACCATCCCCAACCCTTCTTCTTCCTCCATCACCCATGCCCGTCCACCATAGCCAACCACCTCCAACCCTTCTTCTTCCTCCATCACCCACACCCGTCCACCATAGTCGACCACCCCCCAACCCTTCTTCCTCCGCCATCACCCCCACCTGTCCAACATAGCCAACCACCCCCAACCCTTCTTCTTCCTCCATCACCCACGTCCGTCCACCATAGCCAACCACCTCCAACCCTTCTTCTTCCTCCATCACCCACATCCGTCCACCATAACCGACCTCCCCCAACCCTTCTTCTTCCTCCATCACCCACACCCGTCCACCATAGCCGACCACC